GAGGTTGACTCTACATCCCCCGATGTAGCAGTCGCCTCCCAAGGACCAGCATCGCCCGATGAGCCACATGTCTCCTTTACGGAGCTCATGTCCCGCCTCGTCCGTTTACCAGAGATTGAGGCTAGTCAACAGCCAGGCCCATCCACGGATCACTTCTTTGATGTCGTGAGGGGAGAACAGTCCGCGGCCATAGTCCTGCCGCTTATTACCACACTTTGGCAGGCTATGGTCCAACCCTGGGATCAACCGGCCCAACCGCAAGCGACCGCCCATCGGTATGAGGCCATGTACAGAGTTCTGGAGGACGACATTCCATTCCTGATTCACCATCCACACCCGAACTCTGTTGTCGTCGAATCCTTCCAGGGCAGGGAGCCCAGGGAACACATAGCCCCTTGCGACAAGGAAGGGAGGAAGATCGATATGCTCGCCCACCGAGTCTATGCGGCCTCTGGACTTGGCGTGCGCATATCGAATTATGAAGCAACACTGGCACGTTATCAGTATTTTATTATGCAAAAACTGGATAATGTTGCTTCCTCCCTTCCAGACCGCCAAGCCGAGCTTGCCAGGGTATTCATCAAGGAAGCTATGCAGGTAGCAGTGCAGCAATTATCTACCACATGACATCACGTAGATACCAATTCGAGAGCTCTCGTGAATGCCATCTCGCTGCGCCGACATGCATGGCTTCATAATTGCAATTTCCCCGACGAGATGAAACGGAGGATCGAGGAAATGCCATTCGACGGTACCAGGTTATTCCATCAGAAAACCGACCGCAAGTTAAAAGCGATACACGAATCGCGTATGACCGCGTGCTGCATGGAGCTTCCTCACCAGAGGCCTCGTTCCTCTTACCATCCACAATTCCACCCTCGGCAACACTACCAACAAAGACAGCAACGGCGAAGACAACAGCTGCAGCAACGTTTCCCCCAGGGCCGGCGGCGCTTCGACGCTGACAAACGTCCACGTTGACAGTCCGGGCGAACCATTCTCTTTCTCCCCACACCACCTTTCTCTCTCCATTTGGGAGTCCATTACATCTGATAGGTGGGTGTTGTCTATCATTCAGTTTGGATATAGGATAGAATTCGATGTCGTCCCTCCACCGTGTCTGATTCGATTTACATCTTCTTCATTGGTACTGTGCGAAGAAGTCTCTCAGTTGCTTCGCAAGGGCGCGATTCGACAACTATCCCGCTTGGAGGGATTGCACAGATTCTACTCCAGATACTTCACAGTCCCGAAAAGAGGCGGTGGTCTTCGTCCGATTTTGGACTTACGGAATCTAAACAAATACATCAAAACAAAAAAGTTTTGGATGACCACTTTACAGAGTATTTTTCCGTTACTGAAGAGAGAGGATTGGTTTGCCGCCTCAGATTTGAAGGATGCTTATTTTCATATTGCTATCCATCCTTCACATAGACGTTTCCTGCATTTCACTGTTGGGCTCGACTTGTTCGAATATGCTGTGCTACCCTTTGGCCTGGCCACCGCACCTCGAGTTTTTATGAAGTGTATGGCACCAGTATGTGCGCACTTACAGACAAGAGGAGTGCAAATATACCCATATTTAGATGACTGGCTAATTGTCTCCCAAACTAAACAAGGGCTTCTGTCTGCAATACATATGACCTGCGCCTTGCTCGATGATCTTGGACTATGTATTAACCACGAAAAATCATCCCTTATTCCCACGCAGGTCATCGACTTTATTGGGGCACGTCCCAACTCCACACGGGAAAGAGCTTTTCTCCCTCCGGACCGTCGCGCTACCTTATGTGCCCACATCCATCGAATCTGAACGGTAGGAACGGTTCCGGCTATATCCATTCAGAGACTATTGGGGCACATGGCTGCTACAGTTGCCATTGTCCCATATGCCAGACGACGGATGCGGACCATGCAGCTGTTTTTCAACACATCGTTTTGCCCACAGCGAGATTCTCCCAACAAACTGATCTGAATTCCATCTATGATACTCAACACTAATTTGGTGGACCATTCCGAGCAACCTGTATGTCGGTGTCCTGTTCCGAACACCTCATCCAACGAAGACCCTGTATACAGACGCGTCATTACTGGGATGGGGCGCAACATGTGCGGACCTTTGGGTTCAGGGAACTTGGAACCGACGGGAAGCAAGGAAGCATGTCAACGTCCTCGAACTACAGGTGATTTTCAACGCCCTAAGGTCTTTTGAGACTGTCCTATGCCAACAAGTTGTCCAGATTGCATCAGACAACATACTGGCTGTCTTCTACATCAACAAACAGGGCGTCACAAAATCACCACCTTTAGCACGTCTCTCGATGGCCATTTGGGGCTGGTACATACTGAGGGATATTATGCTTCTAGCAGTCCACCTCGCAGGGACCGACAACACCGAAGCAGACATGTTGAGCAGACATACGTCAACAATGCACGAATGGGAGATGGACAGACAAATATGCCACGACCTCTTCCATCTGTGGGGCTATCCGGACTTGGACTTGTTTGCCACTTGTGACAACAGAGTGTGTGCCCTATACTGTTCCAGGGCAGGCATAGGATCGGGATCGCTGGGAGATACCCTTATGATCCCCTAGGACAACATAGCCTTTTATGCGTTTCCCCCAATTCCACTTCTAACGAAAGTGATAGTGAAGATATCTCAAGAAAATGCCACAGGAATAATAATAACTCCATGGTGGCCGAGACAACCGTGGTTCGCCACCCTTCTTTGTCTATCCAAAGGGACGTTTCTTTATCTCCCGTCTTTTCCTCAGCTATTAACGCAGCAAAACGGAGCGATCCGACATCCGGATCTGACTGCCTTGAGGTTGACAGCATGGCGGATCACTTGAGTCATTCTGCTGTGTCGGTACCGACGACATCCAAACCTCTACCGGAATGTATTCACTCCACTGTACCGACGGCCCCCTAGGTCGGTTTCGATGACAACTGCTTCGCTACCTGTGACTGTTGACCAGGAAATTCAGGCGATTCTCACATCTGCTCTAAGACCGTCCACTCGTCGCTCTTATGTGGCTAAATGGAAGAGATTTTCCTCCTTTGCAGCACGCCATTCTTTTTCTCCTGGAATGGCCTCAATTGACAATATTTTACAATTTCTCTTGGAACTTTATCATTTGGGACTGAAACTGTCATCCATTAACGTTTATGTAGCCACTATTTCACACTATCGTGGTGCGCTTCAAGGTATTTCAGTTTTCTCTCAACCTCTACTTCGACGTTTCCTTCGGGGGTTACACAACCTACAACCTTCTATTCGCCCGCCTATGCCAACCTGGAGCCTTCGGTCGTACTCCAAGCACTTACCAAATCTCCGTTTGAGCCACTGGCGACCTACGCCTGGTGTCCTGGAAAACAGCTTTCCTCATAGCGGTGACATCAGCTCAGAGAGCAAGCAAACTTTCTGCTCTCCGCATAGACCCTCCATATCTTAATTTCCGTAAGGAAAAGGTCGTTCTTCGTATGGATTCTTCCTTTCTTCCTAAAGTGGCTACACCATTCCACTTGAGTCAAGATATCATTCTGCCAGCCTTCTTTCCAGCGCCATTGAATCCAATAGAGCGGGCTCTACATACCCTTGATGTTCGCCACTGCCTGGCTTTCTATCGCTCCCATACGGAATCCCTCCATTGTATGAACAGACTCTTTGTTAAGTACTCCGAACATGACAAAGGACTTCCAGTCACACCTCAAAGGCTGTCGCACTGGATCACTCAGACTATTGTCCTGGCCTATCAACTATCAAAAATAGACTTACCTGTTACCCCCCAGGGGTCACTCCACACGAGCTGATGTGACTTCGTCCGCCTTTGCCGCTGGGGTCCTGCTCCAAGATATCTGTAAAGCTGCAACGTGGTCAGGGCCATGCACTTTCGCCAAGCACTATCAGCTTGATGTGCGCGCCAGGCAGGACTGCTCTTTCGGCAGAGCTGTTCTTTCGTCCGTTCTTCGCTGATGACACCTCCCTCCTCCGAGTTGGGTAAGCTTGCTAATCACCCATATGTGTGATGCACAGAGGCCACGACGAAGAAAGGCAGGTTGCTTACCTGTAACTGATGTTCTTCGAGTGGTCATCTGTGCAGTCACACAACCCACCCACTGGCCCCACTTGGTGTCCATCATTACATACTGCCTCAGTACCACGCTGTACTTTGCATCGGTACCGATGGTATATGCCAGTGAGTGGATATTGTTCTCGGTACCGTACTATACTTTGCATCGGTACCATTGGGGCTCAGTGCCGTTTGCAACTAATTTTATTCTTGACCTGTAGAGGGCAAACGTTCGGTCTTCAAGACTGAACAAAATGGCGGACACTCCGCTCTATATATACCACGAAGGGGGAGGGGAGCGGAGTTTTCCCGCCAAAAACCGTTAGCTTTTTAATCTTCCGGCCTAGGCACTGCGCAGGCACAGCACCCATGTGTGTGACTGCACAGATGGCCACTCGAAGAACATCAGTTACAGGTAAGCAACCTGCCTTTCTCCAACTAAATAGGGTCCTCTGTAGTGGTGGTGGTTTTTGCTTGACATTCATCCTTTTGCTGGATAAATTCATCATTTATCCATTAAAAGGTTATCAAAACATTCACGTATAGTATCTCAGTAAAGATGTATCAAGAACCAACTTTGAATATGTTTTCTCCAATCCTAGCATTGGACTATTTTATATTAAGGAACATACCCTCTAACAAATTAACCAGAAGGTTCTATTAACTCATCTTTAGCTCTCCAGTTCAAGTTGTGCTGCTTCTTCCTTGTGTGTTATTTCAAAGAAATCCCCAGAGCAAATAAACAAGTAGTGCTCTACTTAATGCAGAGGCATGCAAAGTACACTTTTAAGCTGCAGGTTCAGAGTGCAGCTTGCTTAGCAGCAAGTGTAGCACTGAACATATTGAGCTAGAGGTCAGCATTAATTTTCATATTTTGTTTCTGCAATTTTACATAATTAACATATTTTTACATAGTATAACTAGCATAAAATTATATGTTGTGTCCCATTTTGTTTGTGGCAGTTTCTGCCTTTAAAAATAATTGTTCAGTTTGCTCAGCTGAATCCTACAGGTATCAAGGAATATTTAAACAGCTTGGTATCTGCAACTGCAAATGAGATGGTGAGTCAGGCTCTCAAAATTAATAATATATGCTTAGACCTAATGAGATAAGGAACATGCTATCTCAAAATAACATATTCTTGATACTGAGCTTTTAAGGCTATCTGTACATGCTTACTAGGAAGTAGGAACTGTTGAACAGTGGAACTTACTTCCAAAAATTTGTATGAGATTCCACAGTAAGTAATCTCTGGCATGATTCTTATATTTACCTAAGGGAGAAAATGAGTCCTTTATTGACTATATGGGAACTGTCATGTCATTTGTTACAGAATAATTTCTTTAGTATACAAGATTCTACAGAGGCAATGAAAATCTGCCAGTAGTTTTTACCCACCTCTGTACTTTGCTTCCTCTCTTACACAGTTAATAAAATGTATGGGAAAAAAGAATGCCTAATTTGCGGTTGTCCAGCTCCAGATAATTTATGGATGACAGAAATAGGTACAGTGGTACCTCAGTTCACGAACTTAATTCGTTCCACAGTTCTGGTCGCGAACCAAATTGGTCACAAACTGAGTCAAATTTCCCCATAAGGTTCAATGTAAATAAGATTACTCTGTTCTTAACCATATGTAATTTTTTTTAACCACAAAAATATGAAACGAAGTACAGTATAGTACAGTATGAAGGGAGAGAACACTAACCTTGCTTGAGGTGACTTCCAGCATGGAGGACAGGAAGGTGGGTGTGGGGAAGGTGGGTGTGGGGGAGGTGGGTGTGGGGGAGGTTATTGTTTGGAGGAAGAGTCTGCAACTGCAATCTCGACTAGAGAAAGCCGTGACCACATGTTAGAGTGGGGAAGATGGCCGCATTCGTTTTCGTGCGAACACGATCGCGACCATCATCTCCACACTGCAACCACATGTCAGAGCATGTTCCAGTGGGGAAGATGGCCGCGTTCATGTTCGTGTGGGGAAGATGGCCACGATCGTGTTCGTCACCCGATGGAGAGCTCGTGAATGGAAACAAATGGAATTTTATTCAAGCGTCATTTTAACTGTTAATAATATTTATTTATTTTATTTTTTGGCCAGGGTGACTTATGTTATATTGTTAACTTGTTTTATATTGTTAATTTATTGTATTTTAATTGATTTATTTGTAAGCCGCCCCGAGGCTTCGGCGAATGGGGCGGCATAGAAATTTTCTAAACAAACAAACAAATAAATCAATCAATAAAAATTTGCCAAACTTTCTGTTTGCAAGCTGAATTGTTCGCGAGCAGAAACATTTGTGAACCAAGGTATTACTGTGTATAGAACATAGACCCTTTCTGGATCAGACCAAAGGTCCTTTAACTCATGATCTTTTTCCTCTCAGTTACCAATCAGATGTTTGAGAAGCTCATAAACAGGCCATGAAGGCTTATAGCCCTGTCCCCTTTGTTGTGTTCCAGTAACTGGCATTCAGAGACATGTTGAATCTGAACTTGTAAGTTCCATATGAGTATAAAAGTAGTAGCATATAACAGTCCTTCAGGGACTCTAGTTCTTACATCCTACTGTTGTGAGAATTGTCTGTTTATTACTATTCTCTTCTTTGGTTCTTTAAATAGTACCCATTCTATAAGATACTCTTCTATCATGTTATTTTGTGATGCTAAGTTTATTCAAGAGCCTTTGGTAAGGAAGTTTTGTCAAAAGTTGGGAGTTTGGGTGTACCAGACTGCCTCTTCTCTATAGCCTCAAGTAATGATATATTTGTGAGGCAGAACATGACTTTACAAAAGCCATGCCCATTGTTCCTCAACAAGGCTTGTTCTTTTCTGTGTTTAACAATTCTGGCTTTAATAAAGCTTCCTACTAATTTACTTGCACAGATGTTAAAACAAGAAACATGTACTTTCTTGACTTACTTGGATCCCTTTTAAAAGACTGCTATTACGTTGGCTATCTTCCAATCCATCTTCTGCTTAAGGCAAAAGTTTTAACTTCATTAGAAGGGGCTGTAACATTTTGCCTCGCTCTACTTAAACCACAGTGGAAGGGATGTGATGATATATTAACAGCAACTCATGACACAGACCAAGACAAGAACAAAAAACCTGATTTGTTATGAAGATTAAAGTGCCACAGGCTGTGAGACAGGCAAGATTTAGGTGATTTGACTATTAATTTCTGCTTCTTCATGGTCAAGCCCTATTTGGTGCAGTAAAATTAGAAAACCTGTATTGTATTTATTTACCAGCAAAGTTGAGTTGAAGGCCTCCATAGCAATGCCAGAGTCTCCCAGTAACTTGGCACTTAATGGATTTTGATTTTTAGGAGTGGTACACATGAATGTATGGGCCCTGCAACATTTATGGGACCAAGGTTCTATTTTATCTTGAAGAATAAACATAACAGCTGTATAATTAGTCACTATGGAGTAAAGATTTCCTTGTATCCCCCACTTTTTATTGCACTTTGCTAAAGACCTGGTTAAGATTAAAAAAAGATATATATTAGAAGCAAGAGAATTTTGGGCACCCAGAATATGTAAGACTCTCCGACTTGGAGGGACTGATATCTTAGGTTGCAGATTCTGCCAGGATCTGGAGGCTGATATCATACTGAAGCTTTGAGCTCCATTTGGTGCCTTTTACTTCTGTCTTGTTTCTATCTGTGCAGGGGATGTGAAAACTAGATTTGTCCTTCTTCCACAGCAGGGTTTTGGTTTATTTTGTTTTTCATAGCATTTTATTCCATGGCCCAACTCCAGAGGAGAGCGTATTGCGAAGATGGATTTGAATGTCAGATTTAACAAAATGACTTGTGTATGAGACAACCTTTACTGCTATAAAATTTAATAGCTGATTAATTAAGGGTACAGTGTAATCATTATTATTAATAATAATAGAATGTTGGTTAATACATGGAATAATTATATTTTACTTAATGTATTTGAGTAAATACTAAGATTAAAATACCTAGACACTCAGTTTTTAGTATCTTCCAGGTAACATTTTATCATAGTTAAATGATAAAATTCTGGTTTCTGACTCCTGGCTGAGCAGATCAAAGGAAGTTGCCCCAACTGGTCTAGGGACTCTGGGATACAAGTAACCAAGCTTCCAGATAGCACATTACCAGAGAGAGCAAACAGGAGTTTTGCAGGGAAGTTTGGTGGCAGAGGTCAAGAGGGATGTCCCTAACGTCCCCCCCCCATGCTTCTTTTTTCCTCTTAGTTTTTTCCTCCTTTGTTTCCTTCTTTGTAACACACCTATTTACTGGTAGGATTGTGTTGTTCACTTTCATGCAAGATGGGACAAAGCACTAATTATTACAACAGGCCCAGAAAGCTAGAATAAAAAAGGCAGCAGAAAGAATGGATTGAGAAGACTCCCAAGTGGTGACCCATGCAATGTTTTCCTGCATGAGGTTGGCATGGCCTACATATGGAAGAAGTACAAGCTAGTAACCTTGCTATAGGAAAATGTGAGAGCACTAGAGCAGTGAATGTGCACCCCTCAAGGGAATGAGATGAAGAGTTTTTAGAGCAGCAGAACTGCAACAGCTAAAAGAGGTTGGAAGTGCAACAGCAAGCTGAGGTAGAAGAGGAGAATATTGAACAATGGAAATTGAGGAGGAAGCTTTCAGTTTTCAGAAGACATTCTGCACCAGTGGAAGTAGTGGA